ACTTTTACAAAAGTATTTATATCCTAATCCCTGATCTGCTGTAATTATTTTTAATGTGATCCTTTGATTTCCTCAGTGACCTATTTTATGAGCTCGTTAAAATTTGATCTTTTCTGCCTTTAATGTAATTTCCTTAGCCTAACATTTTCTCCACTACCTGCTGTAAAATGACAACTGCACTTTCAGCCTGTTAAAGAAACGATCTGCTATTAATGCATTTCAAAATAAATCTTTGAGGGGAATGAAATAGCTTTTATAGTTTTATTTCCGCCCCTGCCCTTGGTGGGTGGAGAAGCACAGCAGAGAGGGAAGAAGAAGAATAATGAAGAGCGAACATGAGCCCGGTAGTTCGATGAGTGCAGATGATGAATGACCGTGGGGAGGGAGTACAGGACCAGAGCACAAGCCCGGTCATTAGTTACTCTGCTGTCACAAATGTATTTTTAATGAATCTGCACCTCTGACTCCTCTGCAGAGCACGGCTGTTCCTTCAGGCCAGCGTGACCCCAATATTTCCTGAGAAATGGCGTTCCTGAGCAAATCCACTTTAGCTGCAAAATGTAAATAACCTTTTTCTCTTTCTCAAGTCCATCAGTCTACCTCCTCATCATTAACCATCCCTGTGCTGAAAATACAGACCACCCTCGTTTCACCCCGAGTTTACTCGTGTGTGCTGACTTGTGAGTTTCATGTCAGAACGAAACACATCTCAAGCCTTTTCACTCTGAATAATTACCTACAGAAGTTACTCAAAGCTGCAACGGCAAATTTGGAAAACAAATTAGCTTAAAACATTTTTACAGGCCTCCTTCTAACATGGTGTAAATATTATATTGTGGAGATTTCAAAAAATACAAAAATATGAATTAAGTGATTAAAGCAAATGTGGCAAGGTGGAGAAACGAGGGCCCGGGCAGGATTCAGTCCCCAGACTCCCGGGTGAGAGTCATGCGTGCTTACCAGTCAGCAGGCCCGGATTAATGCACAGGCTTGATATGGCTTGAGCCTAGGGGCCCACGTGTGTTCTGGGGCCCCCATTGGCCAGCTAAAAATATATGATTTTATTTAGATTTACCTGCAAGAATATTCAACTGTATTGGCCGACAAAATCATGAGCGACACTGATTGGGTAAACATTGTGGCGGTCTTGAGTTAAGTAACGTGTCACGTGACACGTCATATTCATGTATCATAGGCTGCTGCACTTAACGAGGGTAAATGAAAAAAAATGTCAGAAAGAAAATATGAGAGCGGCGCTCAGAAAAGAAAAACGGAGAGAATCAAAGAACAAAAGCACAGAAATCTTCTGCAGAAAATCCCCAAATTGTCAGGATATTTTAAACCTGCTGCTGGACCCAACAGCAGGTTATAGAAAAGCAAGACATTCACGATGAAGGCAACGGAGCTATGCTAGCTGGAGCAGCAGAGGTTCATGATGCTAGATCAAAGGAGGGAACGAGCATGTACTCAAACTGGCGGACCCGTAAAAACACCCAACACAGACTGACACGTTTAAGAATGTTTATTAAAGAGGGAAAAGGGGCGATGATGGGAGAGGCAGAGGCTAGGTCAGAAGACAGGCGGTCGTTACCAGGAGATCTGAGAGGATGAATATCCGACAGGGGAATCCGGAGACGTGGTCGAGGACTGAGCAGGGTCGTGGCCAGGAGGTCAGAGAGGCAGCAACTCCAATAGGGGAAATCCAAAGACGTGGTCGGGAGCAAGGCGGTAATCCTAGGAGGGCACGAGGAGCAGGCAGGTCAGAGGACGAGGCAAGGTTCGGATCCGTGGAGTCAAGGTGAGTGAAAGGCTGGAGAATTTACTTACAAAGCATTCAATAATCTGGCACTGGTTGGAGAGCAGGCTGGGAGTTATATAGCAGGAGGAGCAGGTGTGTGTGATAAGCTGATGAGGTGTAGGTTAGGTTGCTGTGGAAACAGGGTTTGGCGGGAGCGGTGGCATGAGGGAGCCAGGTGTGATGCATGAAGGTGATGAGGTGCTGACTGGGGTTGCTATGGAAACGGGGCCTGGCAGGAGCAGGAACATGACGACTGGTGTTTAGCTCAATTTCGTCCGGCATTGCGGGCTTCTGGTCACAGCAGAAGTGTTTCAGGATGGATAACCGAGGGGAGGGGTGAGTGTTCCACGACCGTGTTCGCATTCATAACCTAGCCCGTGGAGTTGTTGTAACAGCTTTAAATGTGCACCGTTTTGAAGGAGTCAAGGCTATTCTATTCTAAAGGGCTCTAAAGCCCCATTCCCACCTGTACCGGGTTGGCCCGGGCCGGGTAGCCCCAGTCGGCCCCAGCCTGGCCCGGTTGATTCCACACATCCTTGCCTTAAGCCCATGTGGGCTGATTCTACCCACCAATCAGAGGCTTGCTCTAATGGAAGGTGTGAATGGGCTGATTCTACCCACCAATCAGAGGCTTGCTCTAATGGAAGGTGTGAATTTGCTGTCAGCAGTGGGCGTGTTGGCCCTGGTCGGCCTGAAGCAGTACCCCTCGGGAAGAGGGCCGAGAATGAGCCTTGGTTGGCCCGGGAAAATTCCAGGCCACCCAGATATGTAAACAACCTATGCTACCCGGCCCGGGCCGACCCGGTACAGGTGGGAATGGGGCTTAAGAGCATAGGTGGGTTGAAATAGAGGGCTTGCTGCAGCAGGATTAGTCAAGAAACTGAAAGACAAGCAAGCAAAACTCGAAACAGCACACATGACGTCCATTGGACCGCCCGGACTGCAAGGGGCAAAAATGTTAGTGCCACACAGTTCAGCGAAGTTGCTGCAGCTCAATTTGCCCAGTAGCCCACACAAATCAAAAAGGAAGCGTGTCATTGTGATGGTGTGCACATGTCTGCGGGTGAGAGGGAGAAGCAGTAGCACTGAGAGCTACTCGGGGGGTCACACACAGAAAACACCACACACCTGTGTCTTACTGTCCACACGTTTTATTTACTGTTTCTGCTGCTTTGTTGCTTCTTACAGTCAGCATCTCACTCAGGGAATGGAGAACCTGTTTAGTCATTTGCTGCATCTATGTCTTCTATCGTTTTTTCCGCTGCTGCCGTCTCACCCTTCGCCCTCTCCTCCTGCGTGCGTGCCACCACATATTAATGACTCCCAGCTTGACCACATGTGGTTGGAGCAGGGCAGGCAAGGGGAAGGAGCAGAATTTCCCCAAACTTGCAGGGCTGCAATGGCGAGCACCATCCCCACACAACGTCTGAAGGGAGGAGAACTTTTAGGATTCCTCATGTCAAACTGCAAACACGAAGCACTTGTCTTAGAAGAAGAAGAAAATATCATTTCTATAGCACCTCTCAAGATAAAAATCACAAGGTGCTTCACAAAAACAAAAAATGTAAAAAGATTTTTAAAAAAGCCCCAACAGGTGAGTTTAAAGGAGACCACTGAGTCCACTGATCTCAGGCTCAGGGGAGAGAGGTCCAGAGTCTGGGGGCCACAGCAGCAAATGATCTGTCACCTTTGGTCTTTAGTATGGTGCTGCACAACCAGTAGGCTTTGATCACTGGACCTCAGGGACCTGCTGGGGGTGTAGGGTCTAAGAAGATCACCAATGTAAGATGGTGCTTGTCCATGTAAGGTCCTATAGACCAGAACCAGGATCTTGAAATGAACCCTGAAGTTGACTGGCAGCCAGTGAAGCTGGAGGAGAAGCGGGGTGATGTGGGTGTGTTTGGAGGACTTGGTCAGAAGCCGAGTACAGGCATTCTGAACCACCTGTAGACGGTTCAGGGAGGTTCTGCTCAGACACGTGAAAAGAGAGTTACAGTAGTCTAAGCGTGAGGAGATGAAAGTGTGGAGAAGTCTCAAGTTCAGAGCGGGACAGAATGGGACTCAGCTTAGCAATGTTCCTGAGATGGAAGAAGGAAGAGCGAACAAGAGAACTGACATGAGAATCCAGGGTGAGAGCTGGGTCAAAGGTCACGCCAAGATTCCAGACAGAAGGTTTGGTGTGAGAAGCAAGCTGACCAAGAGAGTCTCTGGCTTTGGGAACCAGCTTGTCTGGGGCACAGATGAGGATCTCAGTCTTATCTTCATTCAGCTGAAGAAAGCTCCCAGCCATGCAGGTCAGACCACAATAATCAGATGTTTGCTGCCAAACTTCAGTCAGAAACAGAAAATCCAGGTTTTTAGAGCGAATTAAATCATTGAGCAGGAAGGACTTATTGTTAACAGAGCGGGTGTTCAATAGAGCCATGCTGAGTGAGGTGGAGGAATCAGAAACTACAGAAACAGCTGGAGTTAGTGGACATAAATTAGCAGGGTTAGATCCACGGTGTTTATAAAAACCACTTATGGAGGGAACAGGAGGAGAAACCACTGAGGAATGAGGATAAACCGACCTTAAAAAACTTGGACGGATGAACCGCGCTGCAACGCGTCCTGGCGGGAATGTGGAAGTGGCGCTCAAGTCCCCAAATATAGGACAAGAAGCTAGAAGATCACGCCAATGTTTACTAGATAGACCACACTTTAAGAGAAGTCTTATTCTCACCTGGATTCCTGCTCGATTGCCTCTTTTCCTCCGACGTTTTCCCGGGACCGGATAAACATCGCTGGAGGCGCCCTGGTTGGAATCGTTGTTTGGCTCCGGGCCAGTGCACCACTCAGTTAAACAAACAGGATGGTATGTCCTCGGTGCATCTTGGGCGATCATGAACAAACGGAAGGACAGAAGAGTCTGGCGTTCATAGGAGATGGTAGCAGGGACACTACTGAAGAGGATCGCAGACAGGAGCAAGGTGGAAAAGAGGAGGTTAGTGGAGAAAAGTTTGAAAAAGTGGCCGGTGATCACGGCTAAGCCAAGCAAATCGACATCGGCATCTTGATACCGACCGGAAGCGGAAGTATGTCTTATGTCCCTAAACAGCTACCGTATGTCAAGATTGCGCATGACTATGAAGCGTCAACCACCGTTTATGTACATGAAAACTTAGAATAGATGTGGTGAGTAATATTAATGAAAAAGAAGAAGTTTGTGAACAGACACACAGAATTTAATAGTAAACACGTAAAAATATTACACACTGTGCCTTTAAATACCACCCAAACTATTTTTGTGAGCCTTAGCTGAACTGAAGCAATGTGAGTGAGAAAATTAAAGCGCTAAAAGTCACTCTAAAGATCCTGCTTCATTTCAAAAGACAGAGATGCATGAGGTGATGCCTCTGACAGGAATGACCATGCAATCTCTGCTGACACCACAAACCACACACACACACACACACACACACACACACACACATACATATATATGATTGCAAATGACCACATTCCCGATGTGCTGTCACACAGGTTCAACTACCATCTGGGAATTGCAGGCTCTCATCCATCACTCCTCGACCAACATCTCCCCAAAAATAGTAATCTTACAAGAAGTGATTTGACTCATTTGTAAAAAATAAAAGAAATGGCTGAACAAACATCCCACAGTTCTGATTTTAACAGCCAAAATGTGAATCGATGAAACTGTGATACAGATTAAGATCATTTAGGCTCTGCCGTCTTGAGAAAGCCGTCCCCTCCTCTTAAAGCAGAAAGGTGGCTGTGAACGTCGTGTTTGGACAGCTGGGAGTCTTTGGTTTTCATGTCCATCCGGTTAGTGTCAGTCCAAGAGCTCACCTAGAAGCTCCCTGCTGCTGAGAAGATGTCAGGTGGTGTGTTATTAGTGGACCCATCTCATGGGCTTGTTTATGGCATGTTGCTCCACTGGAGCTGAAAGGGTGTTCACGAAGGAACGTCGCTGTTCCCAGATGTCTCCGAGGGGCACCTCTGCCTGCCTGTTCTGATCTTCACAGGCATCTCCGCCGCCTCTGACATCAGCGGCCGCATGATCTTAATTTTGTCCTGATCTGTGACGCCACCGTGGCTGGAGCTGTCAATACAAGAAACAGGATACAATTTCAAACCACAATCTCCCTATTTCAAACAAATCCCATAAAATAAGAGGATTTTTTTAATGCTTGAGTCTTCATGTTTTTAACGGATTCTGAAGACTATAAGCTCAGAAGAACAAGTTCTGCTGAGAAAATGAAACATCTTCACCTGTCTGGGCTCTCCCTCGCTGCGGCGCCATCTTCGTAGATTTTAAGCATCGTTTCAGTGCGGTCGTCGAGATTCTCTTCAGGCTCCTGAAATCTGAAGATAAACAAAACACGTTATTCTCAAAATATAGATGCATATGTTTATTACATTTATATTCTGGAGGGCTTTTCTTTGTTTTCTTGTAATCATGAACAAATTATATCAAAACAGTAATAATGGAAGGGTTGCAAACTAAATCAGAACCCTAGAAATGTGTTGGTTAAGTACTGAGCAACAGAGATTGGTATAAATAAACACAATATAGGCAGGATCGATATTTTGCGTGAGTAAAACGATTTAATGGGACTTTTTGATGTGTTTTATGCGGAAATGTAATTAAAGTATGAAAATAAAAGCTACAAGCATAAAAAAAAACTATGGTAATATTAACATTACTGTTGCTCTTCCTTTCTGCATCCATCCCAGTCCAAAAAAGTTTCAATCCAGGTCACAGCCTCCTGCACCTAGTCAAAATAACCATTCCAACACAATAGGACCTAACGTCATCAGCGACTCCTCGGTGGTCAGTGAGGAGGGGTATTCATAGGTAGTTTCAGCTTGTTAAGCAACAACAGACAGTTACATGTTGTAAGCTTGACCCACCCACTTTCCAGTAAGAATGGACGAAGTTTCTCGGATGAGACGCAAAACATCATTAAGAAACCAAAAACAGTCCAGTTGCCTTCCTTTAAACCCCTTCGGCTCACTAGTCCTTTCTTATACTTAAAAACCTGCAGCCAGACAGGATCTTTACCTTGGCTCGAGCCGTTCTTTGACTTTGGCAATGGAGAGAATGTACGGGCTGATCTGCCTGGTGATGGAGGTCAGATAAGAGTTCTCATGCTTCAGCTGCATCAGGTCGAAAAGTTGTGCTGCAGCCAGTGAAGGAAGAAAAAGAAAGTTACGTAAAAACAGGCAGAATGTGGGTTTGAGATATGAGAGCTGACGACAGACCTTCATAGATCTCCTGCTCATTAGTGACTCTCTGAAAAGTTTCATCCCAGATCTGTAAAGAAAAGGTGCCAAAATTCATGCAACACATTTACAGTGTGATTTATTTTTCCCTTTGTCTAAGTGGCTGCAGGATGTAGTTTTAACCGTGTGGAATACTTCCAACCTAAGCTAAAGACCAGGCACGATCACCTCTTCAAACATGACTCTCATGGTTTCCACTGTGGAGTGCTGAGCTGCGATCTGATTGTCGATGTGCAGCGATCGGTCCAAGATCTCACCCATCTTCTCTGTGTTGATGATGGAGTGATGTTTGGTCAGATCCCTGTGCAGCTCTTGGACCTGATCCTTCAGACTCTGGATCTCAGTCTGGAGACTCTGTGAAGACACACACACAGATGAACATTTCTTCAAAGATGATACAAACAAATGAGCCCCTGGAGGAAATTGTGCTTCTGTTTGTACTTTACGGACGATAAACTCTTGGTTTAATAATCTGAGAGCAAGAGTTTTATGTTTTATGTTACTATAATTGCCAGAGTTTGGGATTGTGGCATCAACAAGTCAACTCCATATTGTGATTTTGTTCTAAACCAGGTTCATTCGCTGTGCTGATTGAAATCACCTGGATTAGTTGCTGAACTAAAGTAAGTAAGTAAGTAAAAGTTTATTTATATAGCGCCTTTCACAGATATAAATCACAAACATGGCATGGAGATGACTTGTTGATACACAATTCCCCATCTCTGGTATGTGCATACCGCACACACACAAACACACACACACACACACACACACACACACACACACACACATGTATATATATATATATATATATATATATATATATATATATATATATATATATATATATATATATATATATATATATCACAAGGCACTTCACATAAGCGAAAAACAATTAAAGTATGAAAAATATTTTTAAAAAATTATTAAAAATATGTTTATAATGAGAAAAAAAATCAAATTGTGATTAAAAAAATTATATTGTAAGGAAGGGGAGAGAGAAAATTAAAAGGATAGAGGGAAATCAGTGGATCGTGGGAAAGGCACGATTAGAAAGAGCAGAAAAAGGAGAGGGTGGTGATGAAGGTCCCACCAAAGCCTGAACAGGTGAGTTTAAAGTAGGCCACTGATCTCAGGCTCAGGGGGAGAGAGTTCCAGAGTCTGAGGGCCACCGCAGCAAATGATCTGTCACCTTTGGTCTTTAGCCTGGTGCGCTGCACAACCAATAGGCTTTGGTCACTGGACCTCAGGGACCTGCTGGGGGTGAAGGGACTGAGAAGATCACCAATGTAGGATGGTGCTTGTCCATGTAAGGCCCTAAAGACCAGAACCAGGATCTTGAGATGAGCCCTGAAGTTGACTGGCAGCCAATGAAGCTGGAGGAGAAGCGGGGTGATGTGGGTGTGTTTGAAGGACTTGGTCAGAAGCCGAGCACAGGCATTCTGAACCACCTGTAGACGTGTTCTATATCCACTGCAGAAGATGAGGGGTGCAGGAGTGGACAAAAATCTGACTGCACTGAACATCAACTATGTCACCCACAGGCACAGTACATGAGGCTGCACAACTGTATGTCTGAGGTGGTTGTGTGCAGTTCTGGAGCTCCACAGGGTACAGTACTCTCACCCTTTCTCTTCACCTTCTATAGGTCAGTCATCATGGACTTTGTTGACTGATATGAGTGTAACCACCTTTGCTTGAACACCAGTAAGACAAAGGAAATGGTGACTGACTTCCAGAGAAACACTGCTCCTCTCTCACCAGTTAACATCCAGGGAGCAGACATTGAGGTGGTGGATACCTTTAAGTACCTGGGTGTTCACCTCAGCAGCAAACTGAACTGGTCCAACAACACAGATTTGTATAGGAAGGGCCACAGCCACCTCCACCTCCTGAGGAGGCTGAGGTCCTTTGGAGTTAATTCCCAGCTGCTAAACTCTATGGCTCTGTTAGCAGGCAGCTCTGACCGAGACAGGAAGAGACTGAACAAGCTAGTTCGCAAATCTAGCTCGGTTCTGAGCAAACCACTGGATTGAGCTGAGGAGACGTGTGAAAGGAGGATGCTGGGGAAGATGACCACCATCTTAAAATACTCCTCCTACCCACTGCGTTCCACTGTGGGGACCATGGACAGCTCCTTCAGTTCTGCAACAGATGGGCTAAACCCAGAGCACTTCTAGTTTTATATGAACGAAAAAAGCACAGAAGTGCTTCATTTGATCTTGTTGAAGCTTAAAACAGAACCAATGATGACACTTGAAACATTTTATCTTCTTATTTCTACACTCTGGGAAGCTTTTTTAGTCATTCAGTAGCATTTAAATTAGCTAAAAACATCATACAACTGCTGACATTCTTAAAAGCTTATGAACAAGTTTTCTATTTTCCTTCTTTAACAGTTTTCTCTTTAATAAAACACCTGAGGCTTCGGACCACAGCGTTCTCTCACCCTGTAGCTGCTCTCGTAGCTGCGGCAGTGTTCGGTGAAGGGCGTTTCCCTGCCCTCAGCCAGTAGGACCTTGGTGCAGATGTTGCGGTGGGATGTGGACCTTCGCCCACACACTGAGCCCTGAGGCATTTCACTCAGAGACGGGGAGCGACAGGCTAACGACAAAGGGGACTGGAGCCTGCACGGAGCAGATGATAATCATGACTGTCCCACTCAGTCTCTGATTTTATCCTTTATGATTCCTTTTGTAAAGTTTTCAACGTGATTTTTGATTTTATAACACAGACATTATAACATGAAGCCACATAATTATAATTATTCAAATTATTCAGACTGTATTTGGGATTTAAAACCTTTAAAATGATTTTCCTTACGTTCACGGTCACTAAAGGACAAATGATCAGCAGCCAGAAACGACAGCTAGTTATGTCTTCAGTTGGTTCTTAGACATTAAATCATAGAAACAAAAGTAAAAGCATGTAGCTGAAGAAATGTAGTTTAATTACAAATATGAAGAGTTAATTTCCAAAATCAGATAAGAGCCCTTTTTGATCAAAATCAAAATGAATGTAAGATTTTTCCCCCATGTTTTCATGACCCATCTTGAGAATCCAGACTGTTTTCCAGCCGGTTTAGGGTCACAGCAGCATCAGATACAGTCATGGATGTGTTCCTACCACTTCACTAATCTGTTGTTCTGTGAAATCTTGTCAAAAATAAAACCAGCTGGCGGGTTTTCCATCAGCTCCTGTCTGGTTTACATCCTGCATCGTCGTGAAACATGCTTTCAGACACCGACTTGCATGCTTTGTAAAAGGCTGCAGAAAAAATAACTTTTTTTTTCTTTTCTTTCCAAGAAATATAAATTAATTGAACATTTCTGTCATCTTTCAGTTCTTATAAAAATGTATTTACATTAAATACCAAAATCCAAGTCAGTTTATCACAACCTGACAGATTAACACGTTAAAATAATTTACCTGTGATCTGGCTCTTTTTCTCCCGTTTCCTGTCCACAGCAGCAGCAGACCTGGCTAAAGCGTAAACCTTCTCACTCATACAAGTCATTTTCTGCACGGCGAGCCTCTGTCCTCACAGCAGTGATGCCAGACTTTTCCTAAGCTGAAAGGTGACATCAAATGTCCCAGAAACAAAACAGCCCAGCCTCTGCTCGCCAACGCGCAACAGAATCCCAGAGAGTTCCATGAAATTACGATAAAAATAGTGCTAGCCGGCTGCCAGATACCAGACCCGGCCCACTACATCTTGCTCTGGCAGGACATTAAACACACTGGAACAAAAAGTCGTCAGCATGCTGGTGTTGGTCAGCAGGCTTAAACACCTGTGAATGGCTGGGAAGACACTGATGCGTTGATCAGGTAAATCTGCACTTAGATCAAATGAAAAGAGGAGCAGGTTGACTTCTTTAGTAAGATTTTAAAACCACTGCTTTACCTCAAACAACATCCTCCATCCAGGAAGTGTGACCACATGCAGCTACTCATTCATTCTTCACCGGAACATCTATCTGGCCACAGCAGGACCAGAATGTTCTAAACTGAGCTGGACTTCCTCCCATGCAGATCCTCTGCAGCAAGGTGAATTATGCAAACGTATCAGAGTACAAAGCTTAGAGACAGACAGACAGAATAACTAGCATAGCGGGATCCAGCATGGCGCCTCCTTTCTTCCCCATCTGCACTTGCGAACCGTTTGGGTATTTGGACTTTGGACGCTTCACAAGTGAGAAATTTTCCACTCAGACTTATTTTCATACAGACGGTAGAACGCTGGTGTGTGCTGTTTTATTTATTTCATATATCCAGCACACATGCATCATCTTGGAATCTTTCTCATTGCCTGAATCTCCTCCGCACCTCAGAGCAGAGGCCCCCTCCCCTCGTGCAAAGGGGATCCCCGCCCCTCCCACCCACCACAGGTGGTTTATGTTGTGACTGTGTGAATATGTGCTTTTATGCTTGATGTGTTTTTCCTGAACCCCAACTCTTGCCCCTGTCGGGGGTGGGGGAAGTCTATTTTCTCCATTTTCCCTCCCTGATGCCACACCCCCATTCTCATATATTTTCCCATGTCCGGGGGGTGGGGGGGTGGGGGGGGGGGCACTGGCATCGGTGCTAAATCCCAGCTAATCTTCAGATGGCAGGTTTTGAAGCCTTATTTCCTGATATTTGGACATCTCGCTTTTGATTGGATAACAGCAAGGCAACTCTACCACTATTGATGTTTTACCTCCACAAATTACAAGTTTAGCAGTATGGTGAAGTTGCTGATGCTAACAATTAGGCTTTAATAGTCAAGACGTTATCTGCTCTTTCATGGATGCTAAACCAACAAACCGTCACTAGTCACGATGAGTGAGTCCATGAACATTCAGCGACTGTGTGTCATAGCTATGTCAAGCTTTTCAAACCCTAGTGCAGGGAGGGCCAGTACCAGTTTGAGTTTTAACTGTTTCAACACACCTGATTTCAGCCAGCAGGTGATTAACAGGCTTCTGCAGAATCTGATGAGCTGCTGCACAGGTGATTCAATCACTGAATCAAAAGTGTTGGGGCAGAGAAACCACCAAAACATGCTGAATACCTGCCTTCCAGGCCCGGAACAGAATACCCCTGTCCTAGCTTCATTGTTTATTTTTTATCAGAAGCTGTAGAAGACTATTTTCCTGTTCAGCCTGCATGAAAAACTTTCAGTGACCAAATTATAATAAGAAATAAGATTTTTTTAGATGGTTATTCAGAGTTCAATACTTTTAAGAAAATTATTAAATGAATCTAGCTGCAGGGAGATGATCTTACCTTGTCACGACACTTATGGACCCAGAGACAGATGGAGGACGGCGGGGTCCTATCTGTAGCAGAGACTCTAAACAGCGAGCAAACTCACTTCTATACTCGGTGTTGATCTAACAGACGGCAGAGAGAAAGTCATTCAGACATCCAAGTGAAGCAATCATCCAAAAGTTAAAAAAAACATCATTATTTCTACATAAACAATAACTGTGTTCCTTCTTATATCCACTTTCATTACAACAGTCAAACTAATATTATGCTGTTGCAAAATCTAGAATCTGCCTTTGTAAGAAGCAAAACTTCTCTTTTATGACTGTATTTAGACTTTCTAGGAGACTGATGTTCTCACTTTGCTGCTCTGCACTGGCCGCAGTCGATGAGGAAGCTTCACAATCTTCTTCAGCCTCTCCATGAGTTGCTGAGCAAACAGAAAAATCAGAGTGGGACTCCGTGGCCTGTTTCACCTCGCTGAGACATTATGGACAGCTTCCATTTAAAAACCAATCCAGTCCAGCAGGCTTCTGTTAACCTTTTATTTACTCTGGTTTGTTCACCACCTGAGACTCCTGTCATGTTGTACATTTATGTTATTTATTCATCTATTTGATCGCTACCTTGTTAGCACATTTCTGTTGTTAATTCACACTTCTGCTTTTGTTCATGACTGCACCGTTGCTCCAGATGTACTCACGTAACCCATATCCAAAAACTCATACTTGTTGGCTGAGCTGAGGAAGGCTGAACAGGTGACCAAGTGGACCTAGAAACATCAGAGGTTAGAGGTCAAACCCTGCAGCATTATTAAAAAGACCTAACCATGTTTCTATGGTTTCTATAGTAAATAAAGAAAGTTTTATGGCATGGCAGGCTGTTCTGTGCCAATACTGAACCTTTTTCAGAAGAACATTATTTAATTATTGTTAAAAGTGCATTATGTAAAACTGAAGTAAGAGTGACACCCTGTGGTCAGATGTGGTTACTGCAGGACATTTTCTAAACACGCAGCGTCACGGACTCCCGTGACTTTCCAGTTACGGATCAGCACCAGAAGATTCTAGATGAGCAGTGAAGACGAAATAGAAGAAGAAATAACTAACATTTCACAACAAGGGTATTTTTATTAGGGTTAATATTAAGCATTAATATGGGTTCCTTTATTAACTCATTCACTGCCATTGACGACTAAAGTCGTCATTTTAGATCCAACCGTTCACCGCCAATGACGACTAAAGTAGTCATTTGCATTTTTTTTACTGTTTGAGCATCGGAACGAGCCCCCGCGCTGAGAGAACAAACATCTCAGCCCTGAAGCCGATCTTCATCTGCATACGTCACAGATCACATGATCAGGAAGCAACACATCCATGTGTTTGGAGATCGTTTTGGGCCGTTTCTGTAAAAAAAAGTGAGGCGCGAACCGGAAAAACGTCTGCCGATCACAATTCGAAAACGGATTATGAAAGAACGGATAATGCTCGAAACACGTGGCTTCTTCCTGATGTAAGAAGTGAGTCTCCTCTTTGTTTTGGTGGTTTTGGCATCGACATCATGCTAGCACGCAACGTTCTGTGACTCTTAAAAAAAACAGTAAAAACGGTGAGAAACGCTGGCAGCGAAGGCCGTTAGTGATCAGGAAACGGCTGGCAGTGAATGAGTTAACATTCATGTTAACTGTTAAGTGTCCATAAGGTTAGGACAAAGGAGCCGGGGGGGGGGGGGGGGGGGGTCTTCTTAGTAATGCATCACATAATATGGTTAAGCAGTTTTGAATACTTTATCAAATAGTTTATTAATGCCTAATAATGCACTAAGTAACATTAATGAAGGGACCCTTATTGTAAAGTGTTACCAAATAACTTCTGGGTTGCTCCTGTTTACTGGCTTATCTTTACAAAATGCTGCTGCGTTTAGCCGCCGGTGTGGAATTACAAACGCCAGCGCTGCAGCACCGACTCCGCAGCCCAGCAGGCTCAGACTGTACACAAAGACAGCTTCTCACCTCAAAAGTTCTGAAAGCAGAAAAACTGGCAACCCCTCGGCTGAGAAGGAGATCCATTTCAATAGGACCTTCCTTCCATCATGATTGAGACATTAGACTTTTCTGTGATTATTTCTCTATAAAACTCTTACATGTTGTTCCTTTAAGCCATATTCCATTTATTCTGGCACATAAAATTAGCCAGTATCATCACACATTAGTTAAATGTTTCCTTCCAGAGGTCTGGTCGTTCTTTTCTACGTTTTAACCATTCGAGGTATTTCTTAATGCAGATTTTAATTCTATATTTTACTGAAGCGTTAATAAAAATGAACAGAAATGTTTACTCTGTCACTGATTATATCAAATGACTAAAATGCTAAGAAAAAAGTTTTTTGTTGATTTTTATTAAACAACAGAGAAACAGAAAACTCTGCTAAGGTGATTTTTAATACATTTTTGATAGATTACTTTAATCCTGCTTTTTCACAGACACAACTTTGCAGTTCATGTGTGTCGCCTGACCCGATCATTCTCCTCAACTTTCCTTGTATCTTGAAGTTGCACATTGTGAAGTTTGTCATGGCCATGGTCACAACGAAGACAGCCAAAAGTCAACACTTTAAAAGACTTTCTGAAATCCCGGAGAACTATTGATCGAGATCGCTTCAAAGGATTACAAGAAAATCTGTTTGGAAGCAAAATAAAAAGAAGTTAAAGAAAAGAAAGTTGAATAGTCCTTAAAGGTTTTGCTAGAACCAGCCTCAGCATTTCAACCTTTATTATTCACTTTTAGATTTCTGTTGCATTTTTGTATTGATGCACTAACTTAAAGGCAGAAGAGTTTTCAATGGTAAAACATCATGAATGGTACAGAGAATTATTTATTTACTAGATGTACTTCACCTGTAGGGTTGGTAGGAGAGCAGTAAGGTGTGACAGTTGTTCCTTTAAGGCTTTCTCCTTCTCCTCGTGTTGGCTGTAACACACACACACACACACACACATACACACACACACACACACACACACACACACACACACACACACACATACACACAGAGATTTATGTAAGTCTACACCACCAAATTGATGCCGTACCACAATACACAGAAGAGTCAGTTCAGTATTCCCAGGAGCTAATCTATCAGTCCTCTCTTATAATGTACACACACACACACACACACACACACACACACACACACACACAGGACAAACCCATAAATTACAACAGAAATAGCCTTTAACATCCTTCTGGGAACCCAACCAGTGAATGGCTTCCAGGCAGTGTGTGTATGTGTGTGTGTGGGGGTGGGGGTGGGGGGGGGGGGGATAGAGAGAAAGAATAAATCAGCCAAATCCATTCACATTCAAAAATAAAAATAATAAGGAAAAAGTGCCTGAGAACAGGTTGTCTTTAGGATCATTCCTGCTGGAATCGCTCAGACGAAATCAACGTTTGAGATTTTGTCCCTCAACACATAAATCTGGATAAGCAGTGCAGTTTTCTGTTAGCACAACTTTAGATGAGGATTAGTGATGTTTAAGCACTTTATGTAAGTTAAAGACTTAAAGCTACAATGGTGAATATGCAAAACAAGCTAACATTTCCTTCGTGCCTCTTAGCAACTCTAATACAGTATAAACAGCCCGGCCCAAAAAAAACACCATCTGGATTTAACTAAGCAAACAGGTAACAAGATATTTAACCCAACTGGTGCAACGAGCTGCTTCACATGTCCTAAACAACCATGTGGAAAGACACCTCTGGTGGTCGTGGAGAAGATGTTAGTCTGTGTGAGAAGGGTCAGATCATTGGCATCAAGCAGAGAAAACATCTATGGAGATGCAGAAACGACTAAAACCGGGTTAAGAACTGTCCAACACTTTATTAAAACTGGTCTGATGAGTCCAGGTGGACCCTGTTCCAGAGTGATGGTGCATCAGGGTAAGAAGAGAGGAAGATGAAGTGATGCACCCATCATGCCTAGTGCCTACTGTACAAGCCTGTGGGGGCAGTGCTATGATCTGGGCTTGCTGCAGGTGGTCAGGTCTAGGTTCAGCAACAGGATGTGCTCCAAGAATGAGGTCAGCTGACTACCTGAATGTCCTGAATGACCAGGTTATTCCATCTCCCTGATGACACGGCCATATTCCAAGATGACAAAGCCAGGATTCATCGGCTCAGATAGTGAAAGAGTGGTTCAGAGTCCAGAGCTTAACCCCATGGAGAATCATTGGGATGTGCTGGAGAAGGCTTCGTGCAGCGGTCAGACTCTACCATCATCAGTGCAAGATCTTGGTGGAACATTAATGCAACACTGGATGGAGATAAATCTGGTGAAGCTTATCGAAACAACGCCACGGCGACTGTGTGTCGTAGTCAAAGCTAAAGGCGTCCAACATAATATTAGAGTGTGTGACTTATTTTTTTGGCCAGGCTGTGTATATTGTGGACATTAAAAAAATGGGAAAAAATGTAGGTGGTTCTTTCGTACTTGTCTACAAACGTCCACCAATAACCCGGCTTGGACTAAAAGTAACTTTTGGGGTTTTCGTTCTCACCAAACCTCCGCACTTCTGGGTCCTCCACTCATCACTCACGTATTTACAACGGAACACCACTGGTGTGAGAGGTTCTCCGCTCAATAATATCAGAGAAAGAGAAACAGCCGGCTGCCACCACTTCAACTTTAGGACAAACTACCAGAGTCCCAAAAAGAAAAACACCATTTGAAGTCACGGACAACAAAAGACGTTTAACCTAGAAAACGGAGACTGGTGTTTAGCGCTCTCTCTGTACTCCCTCCCTATGAATGGTAGCCGACGGCAGGGGTGAGAGCTCCATGACCGTGTTTGCAGTTAAAAGCTTGTTTTGCAGATTTCCTATTGCAGCTTTAATTGATCGTGTTTTTTGTTGTATTGACATTTGAAGCGTGGACATTAACTGAGTGATTTTGGAAACTATTTTTGTCAACACTTAATAGTCACAACTCTGCACAAGCAAGCCGCAGTCCTGCCGGGCTGCCAGGAGGAAGGAAATGTTCCTGCTTTTCTCGTGGCAGTTTTTAGTGTTGATGTCCATCTTTAACTTGCACACACTTTAATTCACTGGATCTTTGCACAAGCTGCAAACTTTGATTTTAAAACTTTCATAAAATGCTTTAAACTCATTATCGCCTTTTGTGGATTAGAGCCACTCATCCCCCTGAGAGTAAAAGAGCCCAGTCCAAAGAAAAGATGCATCAGAATGGTAATGGCAAGACAACAATCCACTCACAAAATCACTGTGGCAACAAAACACATATCATTTGAAAACTAAAAATGTATATATATATAATAGAATTAGTTTTACCTCTGAGCTGCTTTCAGCAGAATTTTTTTCCTCTCGGCTAGTTTTTCCTGTCAGACGAGGAGAGTAAAAAAAACTCCATTATTCCTCACACTGCTGTGAAAATGGCCTTGAGCTCTCTAACACATTATGAATTTTCACAATTGGGGAAGAGGAAAGTGGTGAAAATTCCAGAGTGATCCAGGCTCTGTTGAATTGTTCATCATGCCTGAAGAGAATCCTCTTTTCTCACATTTAGATGAATAGAGACATCCAGTGGCCGTGCAGCGCCACGGGTACCTCTTAATATCTGAAGCGTGTTCTGTTTCTCTGCACGTGTCTGCTAAAGATTTTATCTCACAAAAGGAGGAGAGAACAGGGAGACATCACCCGTCACTATGGGCACTCTAAAGACCCTATACATGCAGAGGAAACTAGTGATCCTTCTGGGTTCACCTTGAGCTCATTTGCATAAATTTGCATTTGTCTTTCATAGCAAGGTTAGAGAATAGAAACAAATGTTTACATAACCTGCAAACTGCTGAACAGACTACAGATGGCACTTTCTTCTTCCTCCACGTTCAGACGCACTTCCCCTATCATTGATCTCAGCAGATGGATGGCCTCTCCAGTTGAACTCTGCAGATCCTTCACCACCTACAGGACAACAGCTACCTTTTAATTAAAAGCCACTGTGGGCTCTTATTTTAACAGGATTTCATTGGATTTTTTAAAAACATAAAATACAATCTAAATTATGGATGTATTTTAGAATAGCTATAAAATGTTTTAAATATAAACATGAAGGCGACATATTGTGCAAAACTCACATTTTGCATCTTTTTGTGCCTGCATGTGTGTCTCTACTGCCTCTATAAACACTCCAAGACTGTTTGGTTTTAGGAAACACCCGTCCATTTAATCTAATCAATAAAAACCCATCCATCCATTTTCTGTGAGGGTTTGGTTTTAGGAATAATGTGCCAAAAACTAGCTGTTTCATAAAGTCTCCTTTTGTGATGTCACAAGGGGGGGAATTTCACAGTAGTGTAAAGCGATTTTGAGTCTTCTGACCCAGAAAGGCGCCATACAAGTGCGGTTCATTTATCATTTAGAACAGAACCGTCACTCACGTGCAGGAGAGAGCTGCTGCTGGAGGAGCAGCGGCTCTACTCCGAGCCCCTCCTCTTATCCCAGCCCATCAGGGGAGGGGCGGGCATGACCTACTCCAGCAACTGAGGAGTTTCCTGCTCACCATCCTACTGGTTGAAAGTGGAATTACAATTGTCGTAAACAACCATGCAGCAACCTGCTATAGCTAGTGCTAACAATGAGCTAACATTAGCATTAGCCAACCTATGCTAAAATAAAGCACAAAATAAAAAGATCCACACTGTTGGACAAAAAAAAATTACTCACTAGTCCAGCAGCAACAAAGCCATGATTTTGTAGCCTCATTTAGCTCCCTCAAGCTAGTCATAATTCACTGCGGTTTTAGCTCTTTGCTTCACCTCCAAAGATGTTACAAATTTTTACTTCCAGGCTCCGGCATGATGCCCACAGGAAAAGCAAACTTCTTCTTTTCCTTCCTCTTGTGCTTTTTAAGTGATGACCTGCAAACTGAAAATGCTAACTGCTAGCATTACAGCTAAAAGCCGTAAAGCAAGTAAAGAACGCCCCCCAGGACACCTACCCGTTCACAAAGCTATCTAATGTGGTTTTTGGTCAGCAGAGGGCAACAAAGTGGTGTCAAATATGAAACTCGTCAAGTTTCTAACTCGACAACCGCTGAGATCAATGTTAAATCTCTAGCTGAAAGTTTAAAAACTATTGTTAGTTTAAAGTGACAGAGCCCTGAAACGGCTCATTCTGGAAGGCACTGAAACTGTGAAAAATTAAACTGTTGAGCTGTGAGACGGGGTTTGAGCAAAGAAAAGAACTTCGTATAGAGCTATTGTAACTTAAGAAAAAAGTCATAATATGTCCCTTTTGAGATGGACGTATTTCAGCTTCTTTTCATAAAAGCAAAACTTATGCGGCCTTGTTTTAAAATCTGAAATTTCATTTCTGTTTTCAAATGCTGCGAGTTTCCACTTTTTTCTTTGCATTGAATGCTGTTAAAAATGGAGTCTCTTACCAGCACCGCCTGGTCCAACATCTCACACCCCTGTCCGTAAGCTGTTTCAATGTCAATGCAATGAGTTCGACCCTCCCTGCAGTATCAAAGCACAGCAATAAATCCACTTTATCTGATACAGAAAAGGAATGCATATACAAATAGTCGGAGGAGTCACCCACACTTGCATGTCCCTGAAACACTTGATGCAAAGCATGGACTTATTCTCCGTAGAGAAAAGGATGTAAGGCTCCTCGTGGAGAGCTGGGGAGACAAATATGCTTTTAAACTTCACTCCACTCATGAATCATGAATTTAGTAACAACAAAATCCAAAATGTTAGGTAGACAAAACTTGCTTTGATATGAGTTTATTTCAAAAAATTCACATAACAAATTTCAGACCATTCCCTAAAATTACGAACCACTTTGTGTGAGAATAGGATTAACACATACGGGGGACAGATCTCACAAGTGTGCTCATTAGTGAGTAAATACTCAAGTACATAGCAGGTGGCACTCACGGCACTTTCTGTGTTTGGATTTGGTGCGTTTGGCCAACGATACAATGTCGTGGTGAGAAAACATTCTGGCTCTGTGTGTCAACTCTCTGCAGATTGAGCAAAGGGGCTGACTGCAAGTGTTACAGTAGTACATCACTCCTGTATCCTGCACACACACACACACACACACACACACACACACACACACACACACACACACACACACACACACACACACAGGGAGCGAGAAGGTTAAAAATGACAATGAGTATATTTTTAAAGTCCTAAAAGCTCTGATTTATTGAACTCCTTGAATTAATGTGGGTGTAATTTGGCACCTTTTGGTTGCATTCCTGATCACAGTTGGCACACTGAACAGTCTCTTCACTGTCTGTGTTGTTGTCAACAAGGAACTTCAGCAATCGATCCTCAGGGGGAAGGGTATTATTTCCTTTAACTGTTGACTGGTATCTAAGGCAAAAACAGATGTCATCATTTCAACTACTGCTATACTAACACGCTGTAACAAGGCCAGCAAGTTTGCACATTTTGTACAATTTGGAAACATTTGTTATTTTACAAACAATCTGAGGCAACAGAAATAAATTTAAAAAAAATTGAAAAATAAACTGGACTGGGGCTTACTCTGTTATTTACTTTGAGCATTAGCACCTATCAAAGAAATAAAATTACAAAAAATTAATAAATGAGAAAAAGATCATTGATAAACTAATAAGATGATTAAAAACAAAGGAATGAAGATGGTTTAAAACCAGCAAAAAACACATATGATTTAAATAAACGCAGCTTTAAATAATAGTCTTGAGCTGCTTTTTAAAATGTTGCTTTCCATTTTTCTAATTGATTAAAACTTAATATTACGTGTTTTGTTATGATAATTTTATGGTTTTTATAAATTGTTTATACATATCCAATAATAAAGACATAATTATATACAAACTCAACATCTTTATTTTGCACTACCAATCCAAACTATCCTAGAAATGCACGAATTTTAACACAATCAAAATCAACCACTCTGTTCTAAAAGGATCGAACAACGCAGCCTGTGTAAAAGAAAAAAAGTAGCTTGAATTTGTCTCAGAAAAAATGCGCCTGTAAAAATAAACACAGGCGAAAATGTAGGTTTTTAGTAGATTGGTGCAGTTTTGTAGAACAGCGCATGGGGGCGGCAGAGATCTCCCTTACATCGCCAACACCGAAGAAGAAATGCGGAAGTGTTTGTCAAACAAACGCGTGCGATCCGGAAAGTGCTGGAACTGATACCTCTGACTGCTGTAACTACAGCACATGTAGACTGTCATTTTTACCGACAGGAGATTTTATTCAAAGCTCAAAAATGTCTCTTATTTCCGAGGAAAATGTTCGAGGTGGGAGCGTTTTTAAGGATATTAACGCGGACGACGAAGATTGGCAGCCCACGGAGATTGAGAGTCTTTGTATGAACTGCTACCAGAACGGGGTGACACGCATGCTTCTGACCAGAATACCGTTTTTTAAAGAAATAATTGTCAGCTCGTTCAGCTGCGCTAACTGCGGCTGGTCGAACACTGAGATCCAGTCCGCAGGCCGGATTCAAGACCAGGGGGTCTGTTACACCTTAAAGGTCAAAACAAAGCAGGACTTGAACCGGGAGGTTGTGAAAGCAGACAGCGCGACCATCAGGATCCCAGAGCTGGATTTTGAGATCCCACCCTTTACACAAAAAGGCTCGCTTTCCACTGTTGAGGGGCTTTTGGACCGAGCAGTTGCAGGGCTGGAGCAAGACCAGCCCCTCAGGAGGACCACAGACCCCCAGGTGGCAGACAAAATAGAGGATTTCATTCAGAAGCTGAAGAAACTCAAAGACGTAGAGAATGAGTTCACACTGGTGATCGAGGATCCATCTGGAAATAGTTTTGTGGAAAATCCCATGGCACCTCAAAAAGACGAAGCTCTCACCGTGACGCAGTTCAAGCGGACCGTCCAGCAAGATCAGCAGCTAGGATTACGAGCTGATGACGATGACCTGGATGGAGAACCAGCTGGTAATGACCTGGAAACAATGAGACAAGAGGTTCTGGTGTTTCCCACAAATTGCCCTGAGTGCAACGCACCAGCCTCCACCAACATGAAGCTGGTCCAGATCCCACACTTCAAGGAGGTCGTCATCATGGCCACCAACTGTGACAGCTGTGGTCACCGGACCAATGAGGTGAAATCTGGTGGAGCCACTGAACAAATGGGAACTAAGGTCACACTGCACGTTACAGATCCTTCAGACATGACCCGGGACCTGCTCAAGTCTGAGACCTGTTCTGTTATCATCCCAGAGCTGGAGTTTGAGCTGGGGATGGCAGCTGTTGGCGGGAAGTTCACAACCCTGGAGGGCCTGCTAAAAGACATCAAGGACCTAACTGTGTCCAAAAACCCCTTTGTCTGCGGTGACAGCAGCGTTACCGATCGGGTGCAGAAGCTGACAGAGTTTGGAGAGAAGATTGACAAGATAATTGCAGGAGAGCTGGACGTTCACATCATCCTGGATGATCCGGCTGGGAACAGCTACATCCAGAATGTTTATGCACCAGAACCTGATCCAGAGATGACCGTTGAGAAGTACACCCGCTCATTTGAGCAGAACGAGGAGCTCGGCCTGAATGACATGAAGACGGAGAATTATCAAGAAGAAAAATGAACTGAACCAGTCATCTAAGATGACAGAAAGAGCTGAAAATTGGAAATATTTGGACATGCATCCAGTGTTGTGTTGTGCTGTTTTTTGTTGTTTTTCCAATTTTAAGTTAAAACTGTACGATTTGTTGCTTCCAAAAGGCCACATCCTTATAAACTGATAAACATTTTAAGTTTATTATCGTGTTTGGAAAATGTGCATAACCCTAAAACCTGATTTGTACAGTTTAATGGATTCTGCAGCTAATAAAAAAAATCTACCTACTGCGTTGCATTTCTTTAGCTTTCCACAAGATGGTGACATTTTACTGCTAATGGAGAGTTTAATTTGCGAGTAACGCATTTATCTCATTATGCACTTTGGGTCTGCTTTAATCAAACAACGATGTGAAATAAACTAATAACACAACTCTGTTCTTGATTTGCTTATAAAATAATTGGAATTTTTCAGAATGCAGCGTATCTTTGGTTTCCTTTCTTTAGTCCGGCATAATCACAAGATGCCGACTGAAGGGAGCAAATCTGAACATGTTGGTGGTTACGGGAAGGCCATCTACAGTAATAAGAGCAAAACAAACCGTCCATAAGTAAAGCAAGAGATGGTAATGGAAATGTAGCTTCAAGATTTAAACAAACCCATCAAAGGTGTAAAAAATGTTTAAAATCTACAGTCAAACATGACTTGTGTCTATTCTCTGCCACAGCAACCACATTAGCTACAGGACTGTTGAATTCATAAATACCACAATGTTCTGCTGATTGCTTTTTCATTTAATAATTGTTTTTGACCAACAGCCGGGCGGTGCTCGATCTGGACCAATCAGCTGTTGGAAGGATGAAGATGGAAATGTAAACAAAAAGGTCCACTGTCTGTCGGGTTCTTTGCTTTAAAATACTTGTTTTTCATTTCACAGCTGTGCACTAAAGATAAAAGACGTGTGCTGATAGGACCAGAACATGCACCAAAATTTGTACCAACACTCTCTGAACCTTGGAGAGTGTACACTGAAAAGAGAATGTTGATTCGACTGTGACTGAGTCAGACTGATCTTTGTTTAAAGCACTCTTGACCTGAAGTTGTCTGCAAATCACGAGTTTTTCCTTAATAAGGAATTAAACAAATTGGCACCATGTGACTGCTTTTGATTACCCGAAGCTGCCGGCACCACTGCCAAATACCAGTGTACCTTCAATGTGACTGGCCTTGATGGAACAGTGTTGGGTGTAATGGCTTAAATGAAAGTGGGGGTGGGTTTGCAGCTGCTGCAGCCACTCGGGCCTAACCTTTCTATCAGCTCTCCTCTCAACCAGAACGTGCATGGATAAAATGCATCCATGCAAGCGGCTGTGTCCAACATGCACAACCTGTTAGATGTTGTAATCTGAATCAAGTGTTTTAATAGGCCCCAAAAGCATCCCTACTCAACCTTGGACTCCATTTTCACTTTGTTGAGGATTTGTGGCTTAACATCACGTGTGTTATTGTGGCTCAGATTTCCAAGGCAGACGTCCTAATCAAAAGTTACCCCGATGAACTACTGAGTGCTGTCCTCTTACCCACAGAGGGGGCAGCTGAGGCGGCAGTCATTGGTCCGACCTCGCAGGCAGCGAGCACAGAAAATGTGGTAGCAATCCAGTAAGCAGGGAGATTTGTACTGCTCATGGCACAGATGACACACCAGAGGGTGGACATTTACACAATCCACATCACATGGGTTGCTCAAGTTGGAGAAGATTCCCCCTGCCATCTGAAGACAGACCTAGTAAAAACAATGACAACGGGTAAATGTATAGCTGCAAGTTGAAGTTGCACATCCTCTTATCGCTGGACAACAAATCGCGTGTTGTGGTTTTGAAAAACAGCCCAAATATTTCAGTCGTGCTAAGAGTGGCTAAGCTGAGAATGATCAAACACAGATCAAGACTGGGATGTTACAAAACAAGCTGATGTTTGTTTTGGTCTTACCTTGTCAGATGTGACTCGGTCGCCAATCCAAGTATCATAAATATATAACAACTGATTTCATGTCAACACCAATATTGTATCTAGCGAACCACAGTGGGGCCGTCTGTGGAAAGAACAGACCGCCACTGTCTTACCTTTCAGTTGTGCTATCAGCTACCCCCAGCAGGAATGGCAACAATGCAGAAACTCTTCAATAGTAGGCCGACGGGGTCTGAACCACCGGGCAGCTGACTACTCACACCTCGTGCCAGCCCACAAGTGCTGCCAGAGTTCAGAAGAGACATTTAATTTTGTTGTCAGGGTTTGGAATGATGCACCTGTCCTATTTCTGATGCCATAAACTCATTGTACCTTGGGCTATTTAGGAAAAATCATGGAATAAATAAGGAACTAGAGAACTGCCATCCACTAAAATAGTGGTGAAATGTAATTAACACATGTTAACAGGGCAGATAATATCTTCAGAAACTTCTACAACAATCACATTTTAAGGAGAGTTTGTGGATAATCAAAATCCCCACTGGCTCACCGCTACGTGTTACCTTTATCCTGTCATAAATGTCTCCCATTATCATTTTGGTATTTCTCATAATAAGAACGTTTCGGCACAGCCAAGGCATTAGTGATGTGTCGGTCGCGAACGAACCGGCTCTAAGAACCGGCTCTTTGAAGTGAACGACGGGAGCCGGCTCGTCATTGGGAGCCGTCCCCTCCCCCCTCCCCTTTTGCTTTGGTGAAAGCCACAGGCGATTGATTGGTCAGCATGTGTAACTGCGTGTCCAGACTGTCCACACACAGAGCAGTAGGGGCGAGGAAGAGGGAGGATCAGACTCAGACACACAGCAGAGCACATGCGGGCGGAGGGAGACGAGAGGGAATGAGGAGGAGGACAAAGGCGAGAGAGAGAGAGAGAGAGAGAGAGGAGAGTGCAACGAAGACGGTGAGAAAATGAGCGCCAGCAGTCGGAAAGTGGAGATTTCTGAAAGTGTTCAGTTATTAAATCCATAGAAATGATAAATATTTGATATATAGCATTTTTTTACATTAGTACATCATTTTGCATATAGTTTTGCATTATTTTGGTTATAAATGTACTCTACACAACAGAAAATCTGAGGAGCCACTTGGGAGCCGAAAGAGCCGGCTCTTTTTGGTGAGCTGAGCCAAAAGAATCGGCTCTCTAAAAAGAGCCAGAATTCCCATGACTACAAGGCATGGGAATAGGTTGTATAATCAACCCCAGATAGCTTGATCCAATCGATTTAGCAGGTGGGTATTGTACTTCCTGCGCAGAGCGGAAGCTCTTTCCTTTTTGCTGAGCGTGTCTGCCATGGCACCCATAGTGAGTAGTCAAACGACTAAATAAAGCGCACACAGACAACGCAGCTTAGCTTGTATTAGCCACCCACAGCCGAGTATAAACCCGGAGCACAGTGAAATAAGAAATGTTGTTTTGGCGTCGTACCTGACTGTACTTCCAGTAGTTGGTCCAAAACACGCAGAGCTAGCCGCGAGCGCTAATGTTAGCTAGCTGAAGCTCGCAACGGAGTAAACGGGTGTTTTCAGTTGTTTCAAGAGTTTTGTTTTAAGTAGTGAAATTCCGACTCGGGGTCACGTTCCCTGCCCATTTGTGCGAACTTGTCATCGTGTTTTTAACCGATGGTTTCCAGTCCGGGCTGGTTTCGTTATTCTAAGGTGATTCTTTTTTTTGGTTTTGGTTCAAGTTCACGTTTGAGCTTCTTGTGTTTGTGTTGTAGAAGAAGCAGCAGGTGTTCAGGAAACCAGGTGGGAAGAAGAAGAAGCAGATCCTGAAGTTCACCCTGGACTGCACTCATCCTGTGGAGGATGGCATTATGGATGCTGCCAACTTTGTAAGTATCCTTCAGACACAAATGACAGCAGCTGGAATACATAAACAGTAAAGTGTCAGTTTTATGGATCAAACCAAATATTTCTGGATGCTGTAATCAGCATAGAAACAGAGATGATTTTGATGTATCGTCATTTTAATCACATCCACATCAATAGGAAACGTGTTCAGATCACAGTAGATCGTTTCACTTAGAAAAGCATGCGTGCCATGAAGTTATGTTCAAGTCCTGCTGTGGTGTGATGTCCTCAAACAGGAGCAGTACCTGCAGGAGCGCATTAAGGTGAACGGCAAAGCTGGAAACCTGGGTGGTGGCGTTGTGTCCATTGAGAGGAGCAAGAGTAAAATCGCTGTGAACTCAGAAGTGCCCTTCTCCAAGAGGTACAACATGAAATATAATACCTGGTGTCAGAAATGTCCTCAGTGAGCCCATTTCTTTGCAATATGCTCGGTGCAAGGAAATGGTTTCAGTTAAACGGACGGTGAAGTGTTTGTGAACAGGATGTGGTGCCACCTTAAATTAGGGACAATCTATGAGGACAGTCTAAGTTAGCAGCCAACTGGCAACATAAATGTGCAATAGAGTCATAACGACTGGAAATTACCCGTTTGGTTTTGATCATATTTGTATTTACTGCTCAGTGACTGCATTAGTTTGTCATTTTCCCACCTGAAGACGCCACCCAGCTAGTCACCTTCTCAGCTGGGTGGTAAACCCTCTAAAGTCACCGATTCACAACAATATCCTCAGGTGATGCTACCAGACCAAAACGATCCTATGTGAGGAGGGGGACAAATAGCATATCCAGTGTGAGGGTATGTTCATCAGAACAGTGGTTCCCAACCTCGGGCCAGTGACCAAAATTGTCCTAAGCGGAGGTTGTGAGATTGCCAAAATCGTATTTGTTAAGAATACATTCATGAAATCCTGATAACACACCTGATATTATAGTTAAAGCTGGGTATGAGTTATTGCCCTGTGTGGCGAGGTGGAGAAATGAGGGCCCGGGCGGGATTCGATCCCCAGACCGCCGGGTGAGAGTCACGTGTGCCTACCAGTCAGCTAAAGTGACATCCCCTTGGCCAAGTAGCCAGAGCGCATGATCAATCGGGATACTGTGACAGGACGCTCATCCTGTCACACCTGTCTGTCTAAATGAATCCCTTTTTATTGTGTTTATGTGGGTAGAAGTTAGGGTTTGATAAGCATCTCCTCAAGGGAAAAGGTTGGGTCAGAGGATGTAATAAACAGCTGTAAACAAATATAGTTTTAGATTATTTGATGCAAAGCATGTTTAAAGACCTTAAATTAGAAGGGCTTCAAGTCTTATTTAGGTTTTGTTCAAGTGAAACGTTTTTCTCAAATATAAAGATATTGATGTTTGATTTGGTGTAACTTCTTTAGGTGTAAAAGAAGATGTTTCAGTAATGTTGGTAGACATCAAACCTAGTTTTGGTGTTTGCTTCAAGTCCAAAATAGAGAGCGCCACATGAGAACATCACCACCAGAGGGCGACATTAGCCAATGAAGTTCTTCAATAATCTCCAGAAGAAGTCTGGTGGTGCTCCAACCAACCTTGATGCCAGATAAATGTCATCTGTCCTTCTAAATTAATATAGTAAAAATACTTGAATGGCTTTTTATGCATGTACAGCTTGTTTATATGTAAGCCAATAAAGTCAGAGCACGTTATCAGAGATTTAATTCTTATTCACTTAGTGAGAACCTCGTTAGCTCCCACTGTAGTGTGGAGCTTTTTCCTGAGGTGTCTTACATTTTTATTACATTTTGCATACTACCCCCCCCACACACACACACACACACACGCCACACACATCAGATACTAACCCTGGAAGCTCAAGCTACGACCACACTGGCTCAATTCCAGTAAATAACATGAAACATTACTGTTCCCGTAAAGACGAGACATCCTGTCCCACCTCGTCTCACCTGTCTCCTCCATCTTTTTTTTCTTTTTCAGGTATTTAAAGTATCTGACCAAGAAGTATCTGAAGAAGAACAACCTCAGGGACTGGCTGCGGGTTGTGGCCAACACCAAGGAGAGCTACGAGCTGCGCTACTTCCAGATCAACCAGGATGAGGAAGAGGAGGATGAAGATTAAACCTAGCAATACTCTTAATAAAAATCACGAAACAAAAGAAAAAAGTCTGTCTTTGTTGTTTTTCTTCTGTTTTGTGTTGCACATCAGTTCCCAGTAAGGTCGTACTAGAGGTCGTACTTTAGTTTTTGTCTTAATTATGAATCAACAGCATTTAAATAGTTTCAGAAAAACAGGAAAAGCTGGAAAACCAAATAACTGGAAGTCAGATATGTAAATGGAAGTTGTTCTGATGCACAGAAATGAACTGCGCTTCATTGTCCTGTTTTACATCTGTGGTAACCTTGGCAACAGATCACCGGAAGTCATCATGTGGGATTAATCAGCTGCACCTTTGTGGCGTTAATGAACCAGAATTGTAACCCACGTGTTTCATAAGGACGGGCTCCTGTCTCCAGCAGAGATGCGTGAGGTCTCAGCCCTCCACGCAGCTCTCTGGCTGTTCGGGACAAGTTTCCGTCTCCATTCTTCAGACTTCCTGTGCGGAAGCGTCCGGATTCTCCCGCTGCAGCACGAGACGCGCAGCTGTGATTGATTTTAACACTACTAGTTAAAATATTAACTAGCGTGCGACTAACTAGTTGATGGGTGAAACTATGGGATGTATCGTCATGGCAACAGACCAGACGTCACAATCTGGGCATGTGTGTTCCATTTTTGTCTTTCTTATTTTTCAGACTGCGAGACCTGGATAGGGATCTGTGGAAACCTTCCTAATGTTCATTTTTCTACATGTATATTTTTGATCTAAAGGGAAGATTTTTCTATTATTTTCGCTGCAAATTAAAGAAATCCCGGCAGCGGTGAACAGAGAGTTGTTATTGGCTGAAGAGCGGCTGGGCTGCGGCGTCTGGAGGGTTAACTTCCAGTTTTCCCAGCCTAAAAGGGGCTTTGGGGGCTATGAGATAAAGATGCCGGGCTCGCTGAGTAATGAGGACGAGGGACAGGACGACATGGATTTTGAAGACGACGTGCCAGGTGAGGGATCCGGGAGGCGGGGTGTCCTTCAGATGGGTTTGCGCCGTTACGCCTTGAATGCGGGGAAAAGGGCTTGTCCTGCGCTCCCGATACCACGGAGGAGGAGGAGGAGGTGCAATAAGCAGTCATTCCTTTTACTCTCCCCGTCTTGTTCCACGACCTGGTGTCTGGAAGGCTGACGTGATGTTGGCTTTGCCTCCGGCTGTCCTCACATCCAGCCGGCTTTAGGGACATCATGGAAACCCGGCTGCAGGCTCCTGTGTTCTGTCAGGCTTCAGGCCATCCATGTCTCTTTTGTGACCAGGAAGCTGCTCGAACTTTATTAATTAATTTATTTTGTTGCATTGCATGACCGCAGAGGTGCGAAAGCCACGTGTGGGCTCCAGGAACAGCCTGTCACCTGCTCTAGGTTGTGCAATACCCCACATTCACTCTTCCTCCATGTTCTGTGATGCAGCTCTGTTCTGGTCTCATGACAGCTGCACACAAGCCAGATTTCTTCCATTTCTCTTGTTACTGCAAATACAATGCCTATGCCCCTTAACGTAGGAGCTGTGTTATATGCACTCCTCTTTAATGAGTTTCAGGTCTAATCAGTCAGAAACTGTTAGGAAGGCAAAGTTCCCAGTGTGGCCTGTGATGCTCTAAGTGCGACTGTTCCAGTCATGTCCTAAACCGGAAGTGTCTTAACTTTTTAAGACAATGGCCAGAAAGGTCAAGTTAAAGCTGGGATGTATAGTTTAAAAATTCTAAAGTAACTTAAAAATGTTTTAGTTAGACTGACCCTGCACTATGAGCCTAGGAAAATCTTTCATAATGTATATTTCCCTAAAGCCTAATTTATACTTCTCTGCCTGGGGGGGGGGGGGGGGGGGGGGGGGGGGGCAGAGACACACACCACCTTAGGGAGCTTAAGTCCCGCCCATCTACTTCCGGACCATGAGTCCGCGGAAGAAGGAAAAAAATGAGTGCAAGTCAACGGGGCTAAAAACGCTATTTTTTAATTCTGCATGTTTTGTGCCGTGGACAAAAAATGGTGGTTTGCAACAGAGAATCGATAAAAAACAAGTCTGGTGATGCAACCGACTTGTTTTATCATAAAGTAAGGATTTAAGATGGCCAGGGCTGCACTTAAACTATATGTGATATTTTCATATAGTTTTCAATAATTATTGATATTGATCAATATGATTTTTTCTATATCGTTTAGCCCTACTAGAGAGACAAAAATCAACCATCCATGAAAAGAAATCTGGCCCGCGTAAATCTACTCCGAGGACCAGAAGAGGACTTCTGGGTCGCTCTTCCTGTCCTAAACAATTACATGCTTCTTGCTCCAGTGTTATAGGGTAAAGGTGATCAAGTGGCTGATTGTTGCTAAGCACCTGTGGTAAAAGCCGGTGTAATACCAGCTTTCATTGATTTCACGTCTGCATCGCGCTTTGAACTCTACAAACAATGTTTCATATTCAATTCAATTCAATTCAAAAATACTTTATTAATCCCAGAGGGAAATTGATACAATGCAGCTTCATTTCAAATGTTGGGGAAAACCAAGTTTTGTTGGTATGAAATGGACGGAAAGTGAAAAAAATGACAATGGAAAATTCCAGTGACATTTCTGCACAAGATGGCTTCACATAAAACTGACTCAAGGTTACACCATTTCAAATAGAAATATTTATGATTTCACTCAAGCCCACAGAACGCTTTGGTTTTACGTGGAGAGAGAGGTCAAATCTGAGGATAAAAGCTTTAATTTGTTTATTATTTGTCTACATATAACCACTCAATTCACCAACGCTTAAAGGGTAATGCTAATTTAGTATTCATAAACCCAATAACCTCTGTAGGTGGTGCACAGTTTAATAGAGTTCCTGCAGAGATTAGGAAGAATGCTTGCAACTAAATGTGACAACGATTCATAAAAACGCTTCAGTGCTTCCAATCCATCATGCATCTAAAACAAGAAGTGATTCTAAGTTAATTCACTTCCATTAAGAAGCATTTTAAATTCCGACCATGTCAAGAATCTCAGACAAACCTCTGTTGGGACTTCGAGCCACAGACACTTTCGTATCAAAGCTTTTACTTGTCTTAGCACTTGGCCTGGCCTAAGTTCTTCTGTGTTACTCGAGAAGCTTAAACGTGTCACCGTGTTTTGTTACGTTTCTGTTTTATTTGCTCAGTTCTCTCCTCAAATTAAAAGATTATCACAGGCTTTTGTGTTGCCTGCAAATGTTGTCCTCGGTTGGACGAGGGACTATTTTTGGATCCCTCATTGTGAAAGTTGACACAATTTTTCTGCTGTACGTGCGCGTAGCCTAAGCAAAAGACTGTCTTTGTGTGTGCGCGTGTGTGTGTGTGTGTGTATACAGTATTTCAAGCTTTTTTTCCCTCCCGTCTGAAACTAGACTTAACTCGGGCTTTATCCTTCCACCAGTTTGATGAATTTATGTTCTAATAACAGCTTTGCCTAAAGACATTTGATATTTACCTATTAAAAATAGTTATTTTCCAGCTGTTTTTATTAATAAGAAAGTGGAGCTGTCAGTCATAAATGAGCTTCCTAACACACTCCGGCCTCCTTACCCCAGAGAGGTGGGAATCTCATTTGAATGGGTCAGTCTGCATCCCAAGCCCCTGCTGGAAGGTCACCAGTGTGTTTGTCATCCATTCACATTTTACAGAGAAACGGTTTGGCGAGTGAAGCTTTGGTCGTCTTCCCAACCCGAAGTGGTGCCAGACGTCCCCCGGGCAAATGACAGAGCAACCGTCTTTTCTGTCCAACACCTGGCACAATCAGGTCCACTCTCTAATCAAAACCTTTTCTCTCCTTGTAGCTTTCCCCCCCTAAGGCAACCTGACAGATTAAAGGGTAGTTAAGATATTTCCTTCCAAAAACTCTGCATAGTCATCATCAGTTGTTAAATAAAAAGATGCGTTCAATGTAAATGTTAAACCCCTCTTCAGTGCCTTGGGCTTCCCAACAGGGTCGCGGAAGGCGATTTATAAATAAAGCTTTGATTGATTGATTGAAGAACCGGACCATTTCTTTTTTAAATTATTACCAGATTACAACCCAGAATAAAAGACACTAACTGGTGTGGATCTCTGAATAGCCGTTGTTTGTTTGTTTGTGTTTGTGTTAGACAATAGTTTTTCACAGGTTACCCAGGACATTTTAATATTGTGTGAGATGAATGAATGAATGTTTATTTAAATAGCGCTCTACACATCCCAGAGGGTGACCAAAGCGCTTCACATTTAATATGGAAAAAATAAAATAAAAATTACAATAAAACTATTTAAAAACCACTGTAAAAAGTAAACAATCAGAGCCAGTTTAAAACAATTTAGAACGTGGAAATGGTTGTACTTTAGCTAAAACACAGAGCTCAGCTGACAGAAGCTAGTTTTGACAACCAAGTCAAATATGACCCCCCGAATTTCTGATGTGATGTTTAAAACTCGATGTAAAAAATCCTAAGTCTGACAGTGTGACCTTTTGCATGTTTGGAAAAAAGAAAACACTCGGTTTTTTGTCATTATTGAAGTGTAAGAAGTTTTCTGACAACCAAAGCTTTATGTCATGCATGCAGTGTGGTAAGGAAGTTGTAGCACAATGTCTGGACTTTACTGGCAGATAAACTCGGACATCATCAGCATAACAATGGAAAGACAGATTATGTCTTTTAAGGACATTTCCAAGCGGCAGCATGTATAGGGAGAAAAGTGTAGGCCCTAAAACAGATTCTTGGGGTACGCCAAATGGGAGGCTCGTCCTGGATGAATAGGTGTTACCTACATGACACAGAAACTTCTGCTGGACAAAAAGGATCTGAACCAGGTTAATGCAGTGCTACAAGTTCCTACATTTTCTAAATGAGAGATGAGAATTTATTGATCTATTGTGTCTAATGCTGCCATGAGACCCAGCAGGGCCAGAGCAATAGGAAGACCCATCAACAACATTAGGTTATTATGGACCTTTAGTAAGGCTGCTTCTGTGCTATGTCTAGATCTAAATCTGGATTGAGAAATTTCAAGGATGGAATTCTCTTCCAAAAATGGCTGCAGTGGAACGATTTTCTCCAAAGCCTTTGATAAATACGATGGATGTGAGACTGGTCTATAAATAGAACAGAGGGGTCCAAATAGTGTGTATTTTAAAGCGGTCTGATGACAGCATGTTTGAATGCAGCTGGGACAATTCCCGATCTTAGACAGGCAGTGAGCAGCAAATTTCCAATAACAGTGAACATCTGCTTCATCATTTTGGCAGGAATGACCAGGTCAGTAAAAGAGAGGCTGGTGTAAACTCATTAAATGTAGCAGCAGGTAAAGAAAATAAAACTAAACCTACATTAACAGAGAAATTACACATTCTCAATAAAAAAAAATCCAAGAAGTCACGAACAGGACCCAGCACAAATCCAGGAGCAGCAGAACCAGGATTTCAAACAGAGACAGTGGCTTAAACAAAATCCTAGAGTGAGCATCTGTGGAGATCCCAGAAGAAAGACTGACATGTACATCCTTCATGCTTCCTGATATTTTGTTAGACTGTCACGTAGCATCCTCAGAGATACGTGCAGTTTTTCCTTTTTCCGCTTTCGTTCTGCTTTCCTACACTCCTGTTCTGCATCCCCCTTATGTGTCTCCTTGTGTTCCTCATGTGCCTCCTTGTGTTCCCCAGCCCACTCCAGGTTCTCTCCAGGTTTCCCTCACGTTTCCCTTCAGTCACCCCACTTATCATTAGGTTTCCGTCATGTTTGGATCATATAGTCAGTATCTCCCTTTGGTTCATTTTTGCTTCCTTCCCCAGTTAGGTCTGGTTTCCTCCCCTGCTCCGTTCTGCTCCCCATCTCTGTTATTAGTCTCACCTGTGTCCAATTCCCTTAATCACCCAGCCCCTGTGTACATAACCCTGTCTGCGTCTCACTGTGTTGTCAGTCCATTGTTTGTGTCAGCGTTGTCTCAGTTCCCTCTCATGGTCT